GCGCTCGACATTGGAGAAAGACGCGCCCAGCAATCCTAAGTAGAGCCGAGCTGCAGCACAACCAGCAAATTGTCCGCGACCAGCAGCAGGCGAACCGAAGGGCGGGCAGGCCTATCGACTGGGCAGAGAAGCCTGCAGTCCCTGCTCGCCCTCCAGAAATACATACGGACGAGGACAGCGACGACAGCAACGGCGGCCACTACGAGAGCCTTGAGCTGCCCTTCATTGAGGAGCAGCCACCGCCGCCAGCCGCTGTACCGAGGCCCAGACCAGCTCGGACGTTATATGTGCTGCATCTATTCAGCGGCCGTCGCCGAGACGGAGATGTTCAGGACTGGTTTGACCGCCTCAGCAGTCGGGCTGCTTGCGACATACACATGCTCAGCCTGGACATCGCCAACGACCCGACCTTCGGCGACCTGACATCTGAGGTCGCAGTCAGCAAGTGGCGAGACATGGCACAAGCAGGAAGAATTGCAGGAGTCATCGGCGGACCGCCGTGCGAGACCTGGAGCCGAGCGCGCCACTTGCCCCCCAATGGCTGCAGGGGTCGGCCACCAAGACCCCTAAGGGGCGGCAACAGCCTGTGGGGCTTTCGCTACCTTTCCCGCCCAGAGATGGAGCAAGTAGCGACAGGCAACCGCCTATACAGGACACAGCTGGAACTTATGTACATGTGCCTCAATCTGGGAGTCCCAGGCATGCTCGAGCACCCGTCTGAGCCCATCGAGGAGCACTTCGCCAGCTCCTGGAAGCTTCCCGAGACGCGCCATCTCCTGAACCAGCAGGGAGCCGAGCTGATCACCTTCGACCAGTGCACCTGTGGAGCGCGCTCAAGGAAATCCACAAGCCTGATGGCGGTATCCCTACCAACCCTCCGAGCAGAAATCAGGAGACTGCCTGGAAGTGGAAGGTGCTTTCACACGGCCTCCTACCATGCGGAGCTGGCAGGCATCAACGATGAAGGCCAGTGGCGCACCGCGCCGGCCAAGGAGTACCCGAACAGGATGTGCCAGGCCATCGCGACCGCACTGGTGAAGCAGATCAGGTGGCGCTTTGGCGAGTCGCCCAACGACGTCCAGGGGTGGCACATCGACGACGACGTGGCCCACTTCTTCCAGCCGCTCGACCACTACAAGACCAGGGAGATGGGTCAGGACTACTATCGAGGCAGCAGGCGGAACGGCTCACCGACCTGGCTGGAAGAGGCAAGGGAGTGGGCCCGGCAGGACCGACCCGACAAGGCAATCGGCAGGGCCGCCACCTCGACAGGAGCTGTTCGGGCACAGGCTGACTACGAGGATCGTGACGAAGCGCCTTGACGACATGTACAAAAGAATCAGAACGCAAGTCCTGAGGAAGCCCCGAAGGCGTGGGAACACCTCAGGCTACGTCGCCAAGTTTTGCACAAGTTGTCAGGACGCAAGACCTGGGGAAGCCCCGAATGCGAGGGAACACCCCAGGCTCACGTCGCCACGTTTTGCATAGTGACGGACACGGCCGCCGTACAGCCAGGGCTCAGAAGTACCAGTCCGATGACCCCAACTGCACCAAGTATCAGTCAACGTTGCCCTGGTGAGGCAAGGATCAAACTTCGAGACGGGCTCGAAGGGCGGGGGGGCAGGACGAGGACTGCCCGCGCCCACCAGGGGGGATGGTGAGGGTCAGGGGGGGGGCAGGACGAGTACTGCCCGCGCCCCCGCGGTCCGCCCTAGCTCGCCACCCCCACCATTCCCATGGCGGAGACGGAGCTCCCGAGCGCCCAAGGGCGTAGCATAGGGCAGCGTTGACCTTCCTCATCGACAGCAGAAGAATCACCGGCCTGGGGTTCGCCCCCACCGAGGGCACTGTGACCCCTAGCCATAGCGGGACGAGGCAGGGCCGCCATGAACCCTGCTTGAAGTCGGTGCATGGAGGCCAGAGTGCGCCCGCAATCTATTCCACCTACCAGCAACAAGCCGACCCCCATCGACCTTAACCAGTACGACCACTACTTCATCGGCTGGGAACCGTACCAGGAGAAGAGCCCAACGCAGTCAACCAGTTCATGACCAAGGTGACTGTGACAAGACGAAGAGCCCACCAGCAACGAGGCAGGCTCACTGGCACATCGAGGAGGCCGACCGCGACGCGGAGCGCCTCGCGCTGGGCCAGAAGGAGAAAATGCGGAAGCCGACGGCATCGCGGAGCTCCTCGCGCTGGGGGCCATCGCGGAGGCCGACGGCACCATGGAGCTCCTCGCGCTGGGCACCATGGAGCTCCTCGCGCTGGGGGCCATCACGGAGGCCAGGGGCGGGCGGGGTCGCCGCCCTCGACGCGATCTGAGGGCCCCGCCGCCCCCGACCACGCGGACGAGCTCAGCTAGGTCCCACCGAGGTGGGTGGGCCCTCGCCGAGCCAAAGGCCAGGGCCCCGCGGGCCCTCGCCCCCTCGGGCCCTTCGCCGACCGGTGTTGGGCCCAACGGGCCCGTCTTTTTCCCTTCCCCTTTCCTCCAGGCCCTCGCTGTCCCGGATTGAAACGGGCCTCCCTCTCCCCCCTCTGTCGGCGGCCGACGGCCGCCGCGCTGCGCTTCAGGGCTGTGACCCTTACGGCGCGTCAAATAGCGGAAATAGCGGAGGAGGAGGAGGAGGAGGAGGAGGAGGAGAGGAGGAGGAGGAGGGGGGGAGGAGGGGGAGGGGGGGGAAGGGGGAGGGGGGGAGGGGAGGGGGGGGGGGAGGGGGAGGGGGAGGGGGGGGGGGCTTCTTTGCAGAGGTCGTGTCGTCGTCCTCCCCGTGCTTGGGAGCCCTGCTCGCCCAGCGCGTCCCCCATGGAGTGGACACGCGGGAGGGCCAACAGCCGCTTGCCCCGCACGAGGTAGCGAGCCTCTCTCACGGAGCCACCTCGGAGCTCGCCCTTTTGAGCATCGGGGTATGCCCCCCGCCGGCCCCATGAGAAGCCTGGGTCTGCGACATACTACTCTCGCGGGGGATTTTGCAAGTCGTACCCCACAGCTCCTTTGCGGGCGTTTCGACTCTGACCCCCTTATGCGGATGTCCTGTCCCGTCCTGTCCTCCTTCTCCCCCTCTTCCTCTTCCTCCTCCTCCCCCTCCTCCTCGCTCCTCCTCTTCCTCCTCCTTCCTCCTCCTCCCACTCCTCCTCCCCCTCCTCCATATCTTCCCCGTGTAAATCACGTCCCCGTGTCGCACCCCGAGGCCAGTTGTTTGGGCGGGCCGGGCGTTTCGCCTGAGACTTCCTCACCACTGCTGATTCTGACGTTTTTTCATGGCAGCAGCTTCACAGATGGAGGGCGGGTCGTTTCCACAGTGTGGCTCTCGCCCCAGCGCCGTGCAAATTCGTTGTAACAAATTGCAGCAGTTCCACGGATCGAGGGCGACTCGTTTTCAACATGTGGTTTTCGGTTTAGCGCTGCGCTCACTCGTTTTAAACACTGAGAACTGTTTCACGGATTGAAGGCCAGTCGTTTTCAACACGTGGCTCTCGCCGTAGCGCCGCGCGCACTTTTTCCAAACAGTTGCATGAATTTCACGGATTGAGGGCGAGTGGTTTTCAAGATGTGCCTTTCGCTTTAGCGCCAGGCGCATTCGCACTCAAAATTTGCAAGAGATTCATGGATGGAGGGCGAATCGTTTTCAAAGTGTGGTTCTCGCCTTAGCGCCGCGCGCATTCGTTTCAAGCATCCGCAAGAGTTTTACGGATTCCCATGATCAACGTACCAGAGATTGTGTTTTGGAGGGATGCCAGCCTTTGGGGGTGCACAAATCATGTTGATTCGCAGTGATCACGTCCCAGGAATGGCGTTCTGGCACGAATCCGGACCGTCAAGACGCAACAGTCAGGTTGATCCGTGGCGTTGGAATCCCGACAACAATGTTTTGGCATGTTTCAGGGTCTTCAAACAGTTGTCTTCAACCACCGAGGCAGTTCCCTCAGTAAGACTGAACTGCTGTAGGGGCCTATGAAGAGGGTGCTTGGAGGGAGGGTGTATTTCAACATCGCTGATGCCTCTTGAGTTTACACAGGTCCTCCTCCGCCTCCTCCTCCTACCCCGTCGCTCCTCCTTCTCCTCCTCCTCCTCCACCGCCTCCTTCTCGTCCTCCTCCTCCTCCTCCTCCTCCTCCTCCTGTCCCTCCTCCTCCTCCTCCTCTTTCTCCTCCTCGTCCTCCTCGCTCCTCCTCTTCCTCCTCCTCCTCCTCCTCCTCCTCCTCCTCCTCCTCCCCGTCCTCCTCCCCCTCCTCCTCATCCTCATCCTCCTTCCTCGTCGTCCTCCTCCTGTTCCTCCTTGCTCCTCCTCCTCGCTTCTCCTTCTCCTCCTCTTCTTCCTCCTCGTCCTCATGTTCGTCTTTAGGAGGAGGCCCTTCTAGACCTTTCTGTCGGGGGCCTCGTCGTCGTCGCCGTATTTTGGATGTTTCGTCGCCAGGGCCTCTTGGGACTTCGGTGGAACATGGGGGACTTCGGAATCATGTTGCCCGTCTTGCTGGGCGCCTGCGTCGAGATCCAAATAAAGGGATGAACAGAGACATGCCGGCGTGTGCGCGGATTTTCGGCGCGGGTTTCTGGTGTCGGGTCGTTCGTCAACGTCGCCGTCGGCGACAGGCCGGGGCTGGTTCCCTCCTGACGCATTCCGCTCCCGACGCGGGTGCCAATGGACGGGAAGCGCTGCCAGACCAGATAGGCATGCAGAAGAAAGTGGGCGGGTAGGTCGCGCCAGTCCTCGAGGATGATGACGTTGAGCAATTCGAAAGCCCGATCGAGCCACGACATGTGTCTTCTCGGCGACGTGGACGACGACGACAAGGACGACGACGACGACGACGACGACGCCGACGACGACGACGACGTCGACGACGACGACGACGACGACGACGACGAAGACGACCCCGCGCCGGCCTCCGATGGGCCCCTCCCGAGGGCGCCCGTGGGGCCCCCGAGGCACCAGCGACCGACGGACGACCCACGACGACCGGCGGACGACCGACGACCGACGGCGACGCCGCGACCAGGCCAGCGGGCCGCCGCCCAGCGGCCCGGAGGAGTGAGGGCGTGCCGTGCGCGCGCGCGGGCGTTGCGCGGTTGCTGGGGCCTCCTCCTCCTCCTCCTCGCCCCCTTTCTCATCCTCCTCCTCCTCCTCGTACGCCTCCTCCTCCTCCTCCTCCTCCTCGTACGCCGCCTCCTCCTCCTCCTCTTTCTCCTCCTCCTCCTCCTCCTCCTCCCCTCCCTCCTCCTCCTCCTCCTCATCCTCGTTTTCCTCCTCCTCCTCCTCCTCGTACTCCTCCTCCTCCTCCTCGTACGCCTCCTCCTCCTCCTCCTCCTCCTCCTCTTCCGCCTTCTCGTTTTCCTCCTCCTTCTCCTCCTCCTTCTTCTCCTTCTCCCCCCCTTCCTCCTCCTCCTCCTCGTTTTCCTCCTCCTCATCCTCCTCCTCCGCCTCCTCCTCCTCCTCCTCCTCCTCCTCCCCCCATCCAGCTCCTTCCTCCTCTTCCTCTGTTTGTTTTTCCCCTTGTGACTAACTCCTCCCTGTCGTGCCCCCTCAGACGTGTAGGTAGGGCTGGCCGTGCGTTTCGCCTCAGATTCCCTCACCATGATGATTCTGAGGCTTGAAATCTGCAACAGCATTGCTGATGTAGAGCGGGCCGTTTTCTAATTGTGTTTGACGCATTCGCGCCGCACACCTTATTTATTTTAATTTGCCGCAGCTTCAAATATGGGGGGCGGGAGGTACTAAACATGTTTTTCCTCGTTTAAACGTTAGTAGCTGGCGAGAGGCCTCAGCGCCGCGAGCATTCGTTTAAATCGTTAGTAACAGTTTTAAGGATAAAGGGCGAAACTGTTTTAAGATGTGGCTCTCGCCTTAGCGCCGCGCAAGTTCGGTTTGAAAGTTTGCAACAGCTTGAAGGATTCGCATGGTCGACGTCCCGGGAGTGGTCCTCTGGTCAGATGTTGGACAGTCAGGACGCAACAGTCACACTGATTTGTGGTATCGAAGTCCCAGGAATTATTTTGTGGCACGGTTGAGGACTGCAGGTACGCAACAGTTGCGATGATTCGCGACGTTGAGTTCCCAAGAATTGTGTTTGGCAGTATTGGGCATTCCCAGACGGTTGTCGTGCAATGGGGCCCGTCCCGTTACGAGAATATCTTATGGTTTTCGGCCCTCCCGCCACTGTGCTTGGGTTGTGGGTCAGGTTTCTCAGGGATGCCGTTCGGGTCCTCCCCCCCCTACACCTCAGGCGATGCTCAAGAAAACTTAATTTTTCGGCCAGAGTCTCGATTATTCTTAATGTTTCAATTTAATTCCCAAGAGTTTGATATACTTTCTGGGTTTTAGTTAAATTCTGAGACTATGAATTTCTTAACCCATGATTTCTTAAGCATTTCGCAGGGTGTATCTGTGCCCCCTCTTGGAGCAGTTTTTGGGGCCTCTCGGGCCGTCCTGGGCCGTCTCGGGTCCCTCTTGGGCCGCCGTGGGGCGCTCTTGGAGGCCTCTTGGGCCGTCTTGGGGCGATCTTGGGGGCCTCTAGGGCCGCCTGGGAGCGTCGGGAAGCCGAAAGGTATGAAAATCAGCGTTTTACGAAAACCGATGAAACATCAATGGTTTTGGTATCTTGGGGCCCTCTTGGGAAACCCCTAAGAGGCCTCTTAGGGCGTCTTGGAGGCCTCTTGGGCTCTCTGGGGGCCCCGTTCGAGCATCTTGGAGCGGTCGTTCGGCGACTCGGGGCCCTCTTGGACAATCTTCGGGGCCCCTTGGGGCCCTCCTGGCCCGTCTTGAGGCCTTCCTGGGCCAGGAAGAAGTCCTGCGAGAGAAGACGCGGGAAGCCCAGGTAGATTTCAGAATCTCGGGTCGAGGCCCCTGTAAGACTCCCCAGAGCCGAGGATTGGTGTCTCCAGGGATTGGGCAGAGGACCTGAGCCCACGCCCACTCCGTGCCCTCTGGCGCGGTGGCGGATATCGCTGCAGTGTCTCATGAAGGTGAAAGTTGGAGGGAGAGCTTATTGCAACATCATTGATGCGTCTTGGGTTTACGCTGGTCCTCCTCCTCCTCCTCCTCCTCCTCCTCCTCCTCCTCCTCCTCCTCCTCCTCCTCCCTCCCTCCCTCCCTCCCTCCCTCCCTCCCTCCCTCCTCCCTTCCCCTCCTCCGTCCCACTCCCCGGGAGGACGAGGGAAGACAAGCAACACGATGGAAGAGGAGGAGAAGGCGGAGGACGGGGAGAAGAAGGCGGAGTGAGGAGGGACGAGAGAGGAGGGAGGAGAGGAGGTAGGAGGGAAGAGGGAGGAGGGGGGAGGATGAGGACCAGCGTAAACCCAAGACTCACCAACGACAGTGCAAGAGACCCGCCCTGCAAGTTCTCTCTTCACAGGCCCCTGCAAGGATTCATTTTCACTCAAGGAAATGCGCCGTTGGAGGGCAACCGCTTGAGAATCATGAGCTGTGCCAGAACACCATTATTTGGATTGCAACGCCGCGAATCACCATTATTGTTGCGTTTTGGCGATCCTGAATCGCGCCAGAACATCATTCCTGGCACTTCAACGCGGCGAATCAACGTAACCGTTGTGCCTTGACAGTCCGACATCGTGCCAAAATCCAGCTACTGGCACATTAGCCATGGGAACCCTTTAAATTGCTACGAACTGTTAAAACGAATGTGCGCGGCGCCATGGCGAGAGCCACGTGTTGAAAAGGAGCTTCCCTCCGTCCGCGAAACTATTGCCTCTGGTTGGAACCGAGTGTGCACAGAGAGAAGAGTCACATTCCGAAAAGGCGCCGCCCTCCATCCATGAAGCCCCATTCGTTCGAGAAGACGTGTGTTCGCGGCGCTAAGGCGAGAGCCAGAGTTAAAAAACGGCCCGCCCTACATCAATGAAGCTCCTTCGATCGTTAACTCGAAAATGCGTGGCGCTAAGGCGAGAGCCACAATTTGAAAACGTCCCGCCCTCCACTCGTGAAGCTCTTCGTATGTGTTCGTGCGAATGTGCGCGGCGCTAAGTAGAGAGCCACATTTTGAAAACGGCCCGCCCGTAACCTGTGAAACTGTTGCATCTTGTCAGCTGAAGGATCATGCGCGGTGGCGAGGTCCCAGTCCCAGGCAAAACGCCCGACCCGCGCTGCCTACACGTCTGGGGTGTACGACATGGAGGAGCTATTGTTAAGGAAAAGGGATGGAAAGGGGGAGGAGGAGGAGGAGGAGGAGGAGGAGGAGGAGGAGGAGGCGGAGGAGGAGGAGGAGGCGGAGGAGGAAGAGGAGGAGGAGAGGGAGGAGGGATCAGGGAGGAGGGAGGAGGGAGGACGAAAGGGAGACGGATGAGGGAGGAGGCAGGGGAAGGAGGGAGGAAGGATTAGGGCGTCGGGAGGAGGGGTAAGGGAGCAGAGGGGAGGGAGGAGGGAGGAAAGAGGAGGGAGGAGGACGTTGGCGACGACGCCGGCGGCGACGACGACAACCTGGGATCGCTTGACTCATCCAGGCCAGGTTTTCCCTCTCCGCACGCAGCGCTTTCTGATGGCCCCCGCGCCCGAAGCGGGACCCCTCTGCGGGACAAACCGAGGAAGGTTTCCGAGGGTCTCCAGGCGACCTCAGGCCTCCAAGAGCTCCAGATGGCCTCCGAGGGCCGCCGTGGGCTTCGCGCAGGCCGCCGAGGCTCGTGCGCAGGCCGCTGACAACGACGACGACGACCACCACCACCACCACGCCGCCGCCGCCGCCGCCGCGGCACGACGACGACGACGACGACGACGACGACGACGACGACGACGACGACGGCGGCGGCGACGGCGGCGGCGGCGGCGGCGACGACCACGACGACGACTACGACAACGACGACGACGGCGGCAGCGGCGGAGGAGGCGGCGGCCTATGGAAGCGGCAGCGACGGCGACGGCGACGGCGACGGTGACGACGACGACGACGACGACGACGACCACGACGACCACGACGACGACGACGACGACGACGACGACGACGACGACGACGACGACGACGACGACGACGACGACGACGACGACGACGACGGTGACGACGTCGACGTCCAAGCCCGCAGGCCGTGCTCGGCTCCGCCCGCGGGGCCGCGCGCACGCGCGGGCTCCCCGCGGCCGCGCTGCCAGGGCCGCGGTGGTGTCGCCCCCGATGGACCTCGGCGCGGCTCTGAGGCGGCTTCAAGGCCGCGGAAGAGCGCGGGCGACGTTCAGCGACGACAGCGACGACGACAACAACACCCAAACCCGCAACCCACAGACGATGGCGGTGGCGGCGTAAGCGGCGGCTTCAAGGCCGTGGCAGAGGCGCAGGCGACGTCGTAGGCGGCGGCGGCGGCGGACGAGGCGGCGGCGAAGGTGGCGGCGGCGGCAAAGACGGCCTCGAGGCCGCGGCAGTAACGCAGCGCGGCGAAGTCGATGTGTTTCTTATTATGCTTCCTCTGCCGCACAAAACCATACACACAAACACCAACACAAGTCGACCCCCAGAAACATGCGGGAAGATAGGGGAAGCGGAGGGGGAGACGGAGATGAAGAAACGATGCGGAAAGATGGGGACTCCTGGGATCTGTGCCTGTCTATCTCTGTGTCCCCGGGCCCCCTTCACGAACTTTCTGTGGTTGTCCTGGGCGCCTGCTCGAGGTCGAGGGTGCGAGGCTGGAGAGGAGCTCGCGACGGGCCCCCGGAGGCGCCGTCGAGGGTCCGGGCGACGACGGTCGGGCCCGTGTGGGCCCCCGGGGGGGGGGGCCAGGGACGGGTTCTGGGGAGGTCTGCTGCAGTGCAGGTGGGCCGGCAGCTGCTCCGCGACGTGTCTCCTCTCCCTCCGCCTCGTCACCCCTCCACCCCTCGTCCTCCGAGGGGGGGGGCCTGGGCGGTGTGCGCGCCTCGGACCCCCTGAGGGCGCCCTCCTGGGATGCGTTCCCGTAGCGAGGGTTTCCCTTCTGAGGGCAGTGCGCCCGCGCCCGTCGGGCGAGAGCGCAGGGCTCACGTGCAGAGGTTGATCGGTGTTCAAACGATGTGCCCCCCACAGAGTTCGCAAAGCTTTTGAAGTCAAACTGTTGCTGTGCACCA